CTGTTGCCCCATGCCAACCCCATCCCACCAGAAAAAGCTGAGATGGGCAGGGCTTTGCTCTTGCACAGTTCACAAATGCCCTTGTTGAAAAAGGCATGGTCCTCCCACAGCCTCACATGGGCAGGACCAAATAGACAAGGAGGGTCTATTGGTAGATCCTCACATGACGTCAAAAAATGAGAAGGCATCTCTCCGATGACTTGAAGCCTTGCTCTGAGGAAGGATTCTGCAAACCCTGCTGCAGGCATCACTTTCTGGTGTTCCCTTCTACACACACGTGGAAAGCCAGGCTCTATTTCCAAACGCAGACGAGAAAGTTGAAGAGCCAGGCAGGATTAGGAAGAGGTACAGGGGAGATCAGTACTTTTGCCATCTCTCCTTTATTTTTAAATTCTCCCAGAGAGCACCTTTCATTATGTTGCAAAGAGTTTTGGCCACCGTTCCACTACCACTTATATTTATTCAGTCAGACCGTTAAAAATTAATGAAGTGGATGCGCTATTGATTTCAAAAGGGCACTTTGCATAGCATTCCTACTCAAACACCACTCCGTGCTGCTGGGGAAGCCTGTAGAGAGGCAATACACTCAGTGTGCAACCCAGCCCTCTATTTTAGAGAACAGAAAAAGCCTTCTCTGCAAGCTAAGTTTAAGAAAGGTTTTTAAGAGAGGCAGAAGAATTTTTTAAATTACTTTGTTTTTTAACACAAGATCCCTCCCTATAAGCATGAAAGATCTCATGTTCAAGTATCTAATGCAAAGATCACCAGAGGATGGTGAGTCTTCCACTGATCCTGGTTAGGTACTAATATTCCCCCCCCACCCCCACCCCTTTGTCTGTGTTTTAGTTATTGCTGGCAAATAATGTAATGTTTTTACAGCTACACATGTTCTACTCCCTACAGAAGCTGTGCTAATGCAGAAAACGTGGAGCCAGAGTCCCACGCGGCACCAAGCACTGTGGGGGAGGCTGCAGGCACCTGAAAGCTGTGCAGAGGGGAAGCAGGAATTAATGTTATCTCAGAAGTGCCGGGAAGGATGCAGGCACTGCAGGAACTGCAGGAGGAAAGGAGCACAGTGATGGAATGAAGGGAAAAACAAAAAGAATTTCACAGACACAAACTCCAATATATATAAATATATATATTAGATGAGAGCAAAAGAGTATAATAAATAATGTTTTTCTATAATCACATATCTGCTGGAGAATGATTATATCCAGGCTGGATTTAAGTACCATTGTTAATCATGGCAATGAAATAAAACAGTACTAAAATCAAATATCACATCATACTCAGAAGTAAGACAGCCCTCAGGCGATGAGGACCTGCGGACTTCAGTCCTGCAGTGGCAGGGGAAAGCGGACTCTGGTACTATTGGGGAGGGGTCTGCCCCAGCCATAGGTGTCAGCAGGACCGATCCAGTTCTGCTCTGAGCCTGCAGTTGCTGACACTTCTTTCATTAGACTGTAGTTAACACAATGTAAACAAGCAGTTGAAAAATTTAATCCAAACACATACTCCCCCCCAAATTAACACAGGAAATCCAGAATCATTGTCACATGATAAAAGAATGATTTATTAGAGCAACTTTATGATAAAATTATATAAAATAACAATTTATTTTTTTTAAAGACGTCCACAATATCACCTTGAAACAAAATGTACAGATACTGCCTATAATCCAAACAAAAATAAATTACCATTCAAAAAAAACCAAAAACAAACCAAAAAGTGTGGAAAAATCAGGGCAGGAGAAACTACTCAAAATTATACACAGCATTTCAAGAGGGTGTGGAAAAGAAAGTCATTAATTGATTCAAGTTATACAAACGTGTTTCAGCTTTACTCTCAGACAGCTCAGCTTGCATTTGTGTTGCATGCAAATGGAATGATCCAGTGAACAGTTCAGAACAGCAGAATCAGCAGCATAACAACAGCAGAGAGTGAAATAGGCACAATTCAGCACGGGGCACATCAAAAGTGAACAGGTAGTTCTGTCTGGTCTTTGCAAAAGTTATACACATTTACTGAACTTCAAAAATAGCTAGTGTGATCTGCAAAACAAGGAAAAAACTAGTAGAATCTTGCACTTAAATACTTTACACCTTTTAATCTTTTTTTTTTGTCTCCTCTCTTTTTCAGTAGGCTGTATGTAAACATTCCCCTAGTTGTACCTTTACTAAAATACTCAAAGATGATGCAGACGTTCTTTTCTCCTGGAGCACGACCACAACATGATATCACCATAGATACATTTAGGACCTCGCTCACAAAGCTCGTACACATTCTTGCAGGAATTTACATTCACTCCATGAGAAAAGAGTAACAGGTTTTTACATTTGAAAGCAAACTGAGAACATGGTTTTCAAGTATAGTGGAAGAGCTGAGGGCTGGGATTTTGAAAGGTGCTCATGGCATCAGGCACCCAAAGTGTACAGAAACCCAGAAGGACCTGAGCACTTGCTTCCCTAAGACTTTGAAAATCCCACCCTTTGTTACATTTCTTTAGTCAGATACAAAACACATGAAAGCAATATGGTACGAGAGTGACCCACAGGTCAGCGTCACCCCTTCCAAGCTCAACACAAGGCCCATCCGTAGCTCATGGAAGCCAACAGGTAGGTATCTTACACGCTGATCCTGGGTCACCCAGACACACCACTACACATCTGCTATGGTCACACTGGAGTCACACAGAGGCATGTTTTCATGGTTGCATACAGTACTGCTTGTAAGAATGAAGAGTGAGTGACCGAAGGAGTTACAGTCAGGTGGCTAGCTCTTTGGCTTATCTGGAGCAGACAAGTGCAAATGGGGTGTACTTCCAAAACAGCGAATGCAAGAGAAAATATGTTGCATTTCATCACTGACTAGCAAAACTGTTTTAAATGCAAAGAGCCAAGGATAAACGTTGTGTCAGGACACAGAAGCATTTTATAGTTTGGCTGAGTCACAAATAAAACAAATCGAGCTGTGCATCCTCCCCCTGCTTCACACACACATTCCCAAATTATAAATAGACACCGATTGTTGCATCCTTATTAGTCGCTTGATTAATTGATGTAAGGTGTCTGTGAGAGCTCTCAAGTTCAGAACACATCCCTGATGTGTTCATGAATGAAAGAAAAATCAAGCAATTTTCAAGTGAAAGTAAAAGAAGTCCCATCAAGGACACATTGTAGAGAAACAAAATCTGCTAGAGCATAGCCATGAAGATGTGGAAATGTGGGTAACAAATAATAATAAAAGTCAGATGTCTGAGTAATTCACATGTCTCTACAGCAAAACTGAAACTAACAGCAACACCTTATCTGTGAAGGTCCTTCAACTCCTAGTGAGCTGGGGTAGCACCTGGTCGGTTCAAACCCTAATCAAGAAGGGCTTGAAAAATTGTGTCTCATATGTCAGAAATGATACCACCACTTATGATATTCATCAAGGACACAGTCAGGTATTTCAAGAAAAGACTGATCAGAATAAATGACCAAATGAACACATTCAGATAGTGCGTATATTACAGGCAGAAGAACATCAAGGGCAAATTCTTTTTTTATTCTGCATTCATCTACATGAAATCCAGCAGATTTCTTCATGGAAGAGCATCTCCACACAAGCAGATGAGTCTTATAACCTACTGGAAATCTTGGAAGGATATTTGCACCTATTGTTTACCAGCCAGCATCTTGCACGCTCAAAAGGAAACGAATGGCCTGTTGGCATACTCCCATTTTGGGACTGATCCTGTTTCTGCTGAAAGTGATAGAAAGCTCCCACTGGCTTCACCAGGAAAGCAGTCACGGTCTTTCTAGTAAGATTAAACACTTCGTGAGCATCTCTATTTATTTAAATTACCTTAACAGGTTCCCACTGTTACAACAGTCTAGCAGAAAAGCTCAGGTAACTACTGAAGCTAACTAAGAAATCCACTACCCACCCCAAAATATAAAGTCAGCACACAAGAAGCAGTCAAGCTTGGGAAACCATTTTCACTGGTTAGACTACACACTGTATGAGGGCAAAGTGGAACTCATCTGCTCACTCTTCCCAGTAAACGTATCCTCCACAGCTACAAAAGAATTTCTTTACCCGATTACCGTTTATTGACCAGGAAGAATGAAAACGGAATCAATACAAGACAGAAAAAACTGGGAGCAAACACGCGTGGAAGAGGTCCCCTCAAAAACAAAACTTTTGTTCTTAAAGCAACGAGAAATTGCTTCGTGTTTTGCAGTTTAACTGAAAGACAGAATACAAAGCCCAACTTTAAGCAAGGAATTGTTCAGTGCAACTGCACAAAATCCTTAGTATTTCTAGGATTATAACAGACCAAAAAAAAAAAATCCAGACAAAAATCCCAATTGTACCAAGTGCTTGACACTGATGAATAGTTTCTGAAGAATACCACAGAATGGTGGTCTTCAAGCACTTTGGTATTGAAAAAAAATTCGTAACAGAACTAGCCGTAAAGGTGGAGCTACATTTAAGCCATTATTTTTTCAGTGCTGTCAAGTGAACACTAGTTCACAGCAACTGTGCAATTAAGTTTATTACATGAGCCATTGGAACAGATGTCTTTCTTAGCAATTAGCTAATTGCAAACATCTTAGTCTTTGGCCCAGCCAAGAGCATTTGTAGCTCATTGTAAAAAGATTGTATATTAAAAAAAACCCAAAAACAAACAACAGTTTAACGACAACATTTGTACCAAAATCATGAAAATTTGGCAAGCTAAACTGTAAAATCTGACTTTTTGTACCTACCCCAAACTTTGGGCTCATCTAAATAGTAACTGTATTAGTAGTCTTTACATTTATACCATTATTAACATTTACACTTTCCCAAGAGAAAAACAAAGGGTTTATTCTGTCTTATTTTGGTTTTTAGACTGAAAATAAGAAAATAAGACTATGCACAACTTCAGTGTGGTCATCTTTTTATGACCGCTGAAAAGGACTTCTTACACAACTGTACGAAGAGTTTCTCCTAGAAACTCACAATATTGCACAATCATTCTGTTGGATTTGCATGTTGATTCTAACAGAGTTGTAATGTTTCACTTGTATAATTAAAAAAACCAACAAAACAAAACACAACTACAAAACCAAAACAAATATAGTACCAAAAAAAGTGTTTTTTAAATTGCGCCTCATTACAACTGAATTAAAAGGCCAATGCAAGAACACTTTAGCTTCGGCAGTATTGAGTGGAGCGTATGCAAAGCCTGTTTTCTTATGGCACACTGGAAGAATAAGTGAGTAATTTTCTAAAAATCAGTTTGCCTCTATGCTGAATATGTGCTGCTCCACAGTGCTAGTCTTGTTTAAAAGGCAATCACAGACTTTCCATTCACCCTCACAGCATAGATTGGGGGTTTTTTTGTGCAACGTGTTAGCAATCTAAACAACTGCTCCACACAAACAGTCCACAAACCACTCATACACAATACTAATGCAACAGTAGATTACAATATGATAGCAATACAAAATATCGCATCAAATCACATATTTCTCTCCATCTGGAATGAAATTCGAATCTTGTAAGCTAGCAGACCCACAGTTCGATTTCTGCGTGTAGTTTCTCATCTGAGCTGGGGACAAAGTCTCCAGTGTGGACCCAGAAGTGTTAGCAGTCCTGACTTTAGTGGCTGTAGATTGTTTAGCAGCAGAAGATGCTTTGTTACTGGCAACTACATCCAAGTTTCCAGTAGGGTCAATGATGGCGTTTATGACTGGGGGAAGAAAAAAAAAAAAAAAAAAGGAAAAAAAGAGACATATAGAGACATATTAGCAGCACTCAGCAGAGTTTCTAAACAGAAGGTTGCTGCCTTCATTTTGAAGGCAGTAGAACTGCAGGCAGTACTCGTGTTCATTTTAGTCATGATGTTTTCTTCATTAATACCTTCAGACCTAAGCAGCTTTAACAAGCAAAACCCGTCCCAAAGTGAAGCTACAAGGACATTCAACTTTCTGGTTCAATTGGAAAAGACAAACTACAGCAGCCAAACGGCAAGCTTTTAGCAGGAGCCCAAAATTACACCTGTATGTCTTTATTAAGCTTCTAGGTGATGCAAGAGCTTGTCTTGCCTTTTCTATTGCATGGAGCCGTATGTGCAAAATTCAAGTCCAAAAAGCACAGCACATCTTATTGGCTGAAAGAGCTGCTAAATATTATTTCAGCAGAACAGACCGTTGCCAGCTCATCTTATGAGAATATTCTAATTACCACAAATGAAGCATTTCCACAACAACAGCTTTCACATTGCAAAAGTCAACAATTTTCTTAAAAATTGGCAGCACAAGATAAATCTACTGTTCATTCCATATGCACTCATCAGAAAGCACTATGCTAACAAACTAAACTTCTGCATCCTTTCCCAGCTTTCACTGGCAAATCAAGCCATGTTATTTTATTTTGTGCAACTTACTGACATTTGAGAGACAAAAAGAACATTTTACATGACCAACCTTCAAGCTGTTTTTGAACTCTCCTGAGCTCCTTCAGGATAGAACTGATTTCCTAGAAACAAAAGCATCAGAATGGAAAATTAAGCAACAAAGTACTCAACTGACACAGGAATCTAGTCTTGCTCCCTCTGTCTTATCTGATCAAGAAGATTCAAAGTCAGTTCCAACCTTGCTTATTTAACAGAAAAGACAAAGCTAGTATCCACAAAGATGATCAGAGGGATGAGACACCTCTCCTATGAGGTCAGGCTAAGACAGTTGGGGTTGTTTAGCCTAGAGAAGACTCCGGGTAGACCTTATTGTGACCTTTCAATACTTAAAAGCCCCCTTTAAGAAAGATGGGGACAGACTTTTTAGCAGGGCCTGTTGCGACAGGACAAGGGATAATGATTTTAAACCAAAAGAGGGTAGATTTAGACTGGATACAAGGAAGAAATTTTTCATGATGAGGGTGGTGAAATGCTGGAACAGGTTGCCCAGACAGGTGGTAGATGCCCCATCCCTGGAAACATTCACAGTCAGGTTGGACAGGGCTCTGAGCAACCTGATCTAGTTGAAGATGTCCCTGTCCATGGTAGGGGGGTTGGACTAGATGGCCTTTAAAGGTCTGTTCCAATTCAAACCATTCTACGATTCGATGATCTGTATCTAGGTGCACCTGGTCAGTGCATGGGGACCTCTGCTCTGCATTATTTCACCAAGTGCTACTACATCACCCAGTTCATAGCCACAGTGGGGTTTAGATTTGAAACACTAGCCAGATTAACTGTACAAAGGCTCCTCCACATCCTCCTTAATACCAAATGCACGAAGATATTTACAAACTCAACTCCTAGACCAGACAAAGCAATTGGCCACATATATACTGCTGTAGCACTGAGCTACACAGGTCCTGCACAGTTATCTGTACACTTAGCATTAACCGTATTTGCTGGGTCCATTATTGTACTTAAATCTCAGATAGTAGTCCCCATAAACGAAAAAATAAGAGGTCATGAGAGCACAAACACCACCCCAGGGCTGAAGCTTTTTTATTGCTCTGTTACTGAACTGTTACAGGTGAAGAAAAACGTTCTCAAGAAACACTTGTCTACAACTGAAGCTGTGGAAACCACGTGGTAGATGATGCGTTTGGTAGATGTTTAAATGAGGCCTAATGACCCTGAACTTAAACATCTGTTAAGGGACTGGGCTTTTGAAGATGAATCACAAAGGGAGAGGGGAAGAGTGAGGTGAAACACAACAGCTAGAGGAACTCAATTTGTCATACTTCAAACAGCAACAAAACCCAGCAGTTCAACACATGCACATGGACTAGAAATTTCAGAAATGGATTTAAGAAGGGACAGAGCTTGTTATTTTGGTTTCTTACAAAGCTTTCATGAATGCAAGCCTTTGGTATTTCACTTGTTCACATGGTCTTACCTTGTTTGATGTCTTCAGAATTGGCACTTCATTTTCTGAATTAATTTTGGCCTCCATCTCCTCCCATGTCCTTTCCGAGTTCTGAAACAGAATCCTACAGCACAAAAAACAGAGCAGGTCTTAAAACTGCCATCCAAAAGCCACTTGTTTAAAAGACTTAATTATCACAAGATGTGGCAACAAAGGAGATTAGTGGATTAGTGACTGAACAAATCGCCTTTCAGCTGATTTAGGAACAATCCAAAGTCCTTCCCTAACTGATGTCTTCTAGAACAACAACAGGCTTTGAAGAGCCCTCACAAGCCTTGGTGACCTGCAGGGTTTCTAAGAGCCTTGGGACAGTGGAGGAAAGAGGAGACAATCCACCACAGGAACACAGTTTCTGCTAATTCTTTGCGCAGGCAACATTTCAAAGTAAAGGCATCAGCAGGCATTACAAATCCAGCATTAAAATTCCAAAGGCTAAACGTATGAGGAAAAGACGTGGCAAATATTCATGTTACCTTTTTTTCACTATGCACACAGTTTCCTACATACGGATTCCCAGCACCTTGATAACAAGACTTTCCAAGACAACAATGCATTATCTTCCACAGGTAGCAAGCCAACAAACTCAGCAACAAATCAACATTTCAGGCCAGGGCTAAAAAAAGTACTTACTTCATTTTTTCAGCTAGGTTTTCTGTATTTTCACGGATTGTATGTGATAACTGGGACACCGGGTTCAACATCAGATTGTCAAAAATTACCTAAAATATAAGGGCAGACCAGAGAACTTTTAGCAGAAGAGGCATATTACAAAACTGGAAATTTTTACAGTAAATGATCCCCACTGAAAAATCTTCATTGATGGGGATGATATTTGGACTTTCAGGGAGATTAAGACGACATGCAGTTTTGTTGCAGCACTTCGGCAAAAAGATTAATACTAACTTGTTTGAATTTTTTTTCTTGAGGAGTGTACAAAGAGACAGAATTGTCTGCAGTAAGATAACTCTTTAAGCATTTCTGAAAGAAAAAGCTTAAGACTTTCTGAGCCTCAGAGGCACCTCCCCTCCCCCCCAACCCAAAAGCCAAATCACAATGTGAGAAGTCCCACAAGCAGGCTCACCAAAACCATCTAATGTGATTTATATGAGTTCAAGCCACCTTCACAGCCATGTAATCCCACCATGTTACATTGTGCTTTATTAAAAACAACAACAAAAAATATTCAAGTCCTGTGATCCAAAAGAGCCCCCAAGCTTCTGCCAGGAAAGCCCACATCAGCTGGGGGTACTCTGAACCTGCACCTTTTACTTAGTCTTGGCATGTCTCTATAAGCGAGCGAGGGATTGCTTCAAGTCAGTCACAGGACAGGATCGGCACACCACTGGCTCAGGCCAGCCTGCTTCAATCAACCCCCCCTCCAGAGCAGCAGACTGACTGTGCTGGAGCCCAGCTCTCCCCTCCTGCCTCTGCCCCAGCTCCTCCTTTTCAACCGGAGCCAGCAGGCAGAAAGCAAGACAGCAAAAGGAAGCAAGAGCCAAGCGCAGCATCAGCAGCCTGCTCCTCCGCTTACCATCACCCCGTTACTGCCCTCACTCCCACACCATCCTCAGCCTCAAGTTTCAGGCCAGGCTTCCTCACCCTTTAGCATCATCCCAGTGTTTTCCATGTTACCCTGCTCTCTCACCCCAGAATTGCATCAAATTGCACACATTGGAGGGAACAACGCAGAATAAGTGGCTTGCTGTCTGCACAGCATGGCACAGCAAGGAGCCCAGCTGCAGAAACTCCTCATAAGGTCCAGATCCTGCCACTGCTACTCTATGGGCAGCTCTGACCAGCACACTCACTGCAGAAAAATAAGGTGCCTTTATCGATTAGGAACAACTGTTTTCGTGCCGTGAGTTCTTGCCTTTAAACTACCAGTGCTGCAGATTTCAAAGTTGAGATTTTTGTGGTTTTCTTTAAAAGAGCAGTGAAATATCCTAAGTGGGCTGTGACACTGAATGCCTCCTCCCAAATATCAAGTGACCAAGCCTCAGGTTTTAATGAAGTTTTACACAAGAGAGGAAACTTCCAGGCAGTATTGGCAAGAAGGGTAATTCTGTTCCTCTTTTGTTTCTTTTTTAAACACTGTTTCATTGTTTCTATACTTCCCAGTCAGGAGTCTTGAGAAGTGGGGTTTTTTGTTTTGTTTTTTTTGAATAGCCTCCTTTGGCAGCTGAGAAAGAACAGGTATACATACGCAGCTTAAAGCAATGTCATATATAAAGTAAAGAAAAAAGTGGCCTGCCTCCTCACGGTTTCTCGTCCTCGTTTTTCTTGAGGTATCCTCTTCTCTATTATCGTTCATATTTTGGTCAAAATCCTTCAGTTCCACTGATCCCGGAGGCACTTTCTGGTAGTTCAGACTTGCTTCTGGAATGTGCTGCACCAACTTGGAAATAATGAGTAATGAGTCATTAAAAATTAGTAGGGAAGGAGGCACACAGGCACTCACTGCAGGTATTGCAGACTTTCAGGCAAGCCCCAGAGGAACACTGATTCATTTAAGTCTTGTTCAGACAGGTATGGGTTCCTAAGCAAATTACTAGACCCCAATCCTGCAAGCACTCAGTGACCCACTGGAGTCATCCTACGAAACTCAGTGGGGCTATTCCACTTTATAATTTTGAGACTTGAACACAGAGTTGAAAAGTACATCTTTGCCTTTTTTGAATTTAGGCTAAAACTCAAAAAGGCCCTGTTTTCCCATATTTTATGTTTTAATATATCAATGCAACAGTAAAGCCACACTAAAATTAATCAGGAACCATTCAGTAACACATGGAAGAGATGAAAAAGCAATACAAAACCACTGAGAACGCAAATAATTAACAGGAAGAACAGAAAAGGCAAGACAGACACCAACTCCTGTTTGGTTGACTGACAGACAAAAACTCTAAAAGAAGGGAAGGAAAATAACAGTGACAAGACAGAGATACAAAAATAATGGGATGGAGAGTGCACCTGAGATGGATATGCCAGCCGAAAAGATCTACGAGCAATCTGTGTTAAAACAGAAACAAAAGAGATCAATGCTAGTGAATGACTGTGACAGCAAGTTATCAAAGAGAACACGTGGTTTGGGGTTATTTTGGGTTGACACTCCCAAAAGCGCATTCCTGAGGACCAGCACTCGATGCCCACCCACCGCATGCACTGAAGCCCATGGAGGTCCTGGTCACCAACCAGTTCTGCAGAGGCAGTCTCGGGCAGCTCCCCAGCTACTTCGAAAGACTGTGCTGAGTGGAATCCAGCAGCCCTCCGAGCACAGATAAGGGCCTAACATAGAGGCCAGGAGGCTCTTCGGTTGCCAAAGCACAGAGCTCTTGTGAGGAAACCATGTGCCATCCAAGGTCCAGGCTCCCCACACTCTATGCAATAGCACTTGGGTTATACACAGGCAGAAGGTATGAGATATTATGGTACGGGGCACAACAGCCAAAATGTTTAGCTAATAAGCTTCTCTTTTTTAAGCAGGCTTTCAAGAAGTACAGAAACAGTAAGTTAGGCTGCTTGCAGCAGTGAAGCAGCACAAGAAGGGAATGAGATATTCCTACAGTTCAGCAGTTCTCGGCATAACCAGTTGAAAACATGGTAAGGACAGCACCTGCTCCCCCATCACCAGCAGATTTTCATATTTAACCTGGTCTCTTCTCCTGCTTTCTGTTCTGTCACGCCTGTAAGCATTTCCTCTTGACATATCAACACTCCTACTAACTTTGAGTATGTTAAACAGTAACTTAACAGACATAATTGGGCTCAAGTTTTTTGCTATATCAACTTTGAAAAAAAGACCAACCAAAAGCATTTCATGCAGGGCTAAAATTTGCAGAAGTGGCCAGTGATTTGGGATGACCCACTGGACTGCGCTTGCAGCAGCTGAGCTTTCGGTTTGACTGCTCAGCTCTGCAGAAAGCTGGGTCCTGTGAAACCTACACACCCACAACTCCAGGCATCCCAAACAACCCATGGCTTTGGTAAACAGGAATCATGAAGGTCTCACCCTTGCTGAACTATTTTTTTGGTTTGTTTGGGGTTTTTTTTTGCTTAATTTGTAGCAGTACTCAGCTCAGTATGCCAAGAATGTAGGTTATTATAAACTATCCAGCTGAGGCTACAAAAACAAACAAAAACACCCCAAACGTTCACTGGGGAAACTGAAAACCTCCCTGGCAAACATCCAAGCCAACACTGGACCTGAAAGGACAGAACTTGAGAAATAAGGTTTAAATCCAAGGCTCCATCTTAATTTTTAAGAGAACACTCATGATTTTGATCTTTAACCAAGCTTCGTAATAAAAGTAATTGAAAAAGCAATTCATTTGAGGCTAAGAAATGCTGTGCCACACACTGGTCCAAAGTGAAGCTTCTGGTAGGGCATTAAACCCTCAAAAATGATTCCAGCATCAGTAGTTATTTTGCCTGCATTTTTCCCCACTTTATTAGAATAGGCATAAATATTTAGTAGTAGAAAATCAAGAGCTAGCAGAACAGCATACAACACTGCAAGAGCCAGAGCAGTGTAAGATACAGTTACATGCAGAAGATGTTTCTTATTCACATATTTCCTTTTATCAGATGTTTCAATACATTACTATTATAACTACGGTAGCTATTTCTCATCACTATGTCCTTTCCTAGAATATTTAATATAAAGTTGTTTAATAAATATTCATAAAATTCATAGTGCTTAGCATCACGCACATTGGTCCTCAGATACTTCCTAGCAACTTCCCTGCTTTAAGCCAAAATAATTATTTTAGCACAGATTCAGCAGCACCCAGACCGAGGGAAGCACGTCCAGATTCTAGTCAAGTTCCAAAGATGCAATGCATATTTATTAAACCCACATCAGTTTATATTGCTCTCATTCATAACCTGACCCCCAAGATGCGCAGTTCAGGATCCCAAGCTATTCAGGATTCAGCTCTATGTCTCCACATCATAGAAAGCCCTGCTGATCTAACCCATTCCTGGCCATCCCTAACATAGGGCAGCTCCACTGATGCACAGTGGCATTTTGGGTGTAACTCAAACAGTCTCCCAGCTGCTGGGCCCTGCTGAAATCACAGTGCTCTCCAACCCTATGTGGAGTGAGTCTTGATAAAAGCCTTTATGGTTTTCACCATTGGCTGAACACAGAGGTTATGGCTCCTGATCTGTCTTCAGAGGCTCCTAACAGTGCTTCTTCATTTATACCACTAAGATCTCAAAAACTACTCTAGCAGTGGGTACTGCCGGCAGCATTACCTGCAGTGCGACACAGCCCTACATTTGCTCTCCTAGCTATTGCGAGGGGGGCTGACTGGCTTGTCCCACACAGCACTGCAAAGCCACATCACAGAAAAACCCTCAATTCGCCTGGGTCCAAGCAATCCTGGCTTTGTGAACCGGCCACTCAGCATCGCAACCACATGCTTTGGAGCCCATAATTTTGCACAGAGTAGAAACACTGCATTTTGCAGGTGTTCTTCCTCTAGCAGTAGAGGGCATCCCTCTGTATGAGTTGACTTATGCCACCCTTCAGTGGCACTCAACAAAAAAGCTGATACGCTGATTTTCTGCAAGGAAGCAGGTGCTGAGTACTGGTCATTACCAACCCACAGCAAATGTTCCATTTGCAAGTCAGAGGTAAGGTAGACTACCACTTTAACTGCTCAAAAAGAATACAAAAGGCAGTTTTGCAGGCGTGGCACTTATGGAAACAAAGCAATAAAACACTTTATCTCAGAGCCCGAAGTGATTGCGAAACATTTGTGCACCGTGGCTCCAAACAGCCCCAGGAAGAAATCCCTCCCTGAGCAGGCTGCAGTTGGCCTCAGATTAACACAAGTATGGTATCCCCCTAAACTTCTGCTTTGCACCTTCAGTGACAAACAGTGCAGGTCACAGGGCGTCCAATTACTGTCTTGGCAGGGTAACAGTTTTGGTTCTCAGCTTTGAGCCCTGCTTAGGATGGGTCTGCAATTCTCACAACAGCCAAAGGCAACAGAGGGCCAAGAGGCCTATCTGAAGAGCAGACAAAGAGAGCTGTGTATATTTTTAAGCCCACACTGGTGGCAGACAGGAGGCAATTTGGATTTAAACAGCAGCAAAGGCAATTTTGCGTTAGCAGCTGGAGCCTCCTGGTGACCTTCCAGCCACGTTTGAGCTGAGTTCCTGCACTGCAGCCAGGTGAGTCAAATTAAGAAAGCCCTTCTCCTCCCCACTCCAAACCGTGTTACACAGCTCAGGAGGAAGCCACAGCTTCACTGAAGAGCTGGAGAGCAGAGTCCTTGGCCTTGCCCATCAATACGCAGATGGGGAGAAGGGATTCAAGAAACACCTGCACAGTGTTTCAACTGCCCTGGCAGAAAGGACACAGCAGAGGTACAAAATACACAGCTGATACAAAGCGTGCAGCCAGAGCACGCAGTCAGAGCCTTGTCTGAAACATGAAGAGAGGCTGAGGCTCCCTGGTACAGCAGCACAGCACAGCACACCCACGCCATCACGTTCTTCAGTGAAAACTTCAGGGACCAAAGTCCAAGTAGAGGCCATGAGATCCTTAGGAAATAATATGAGGAATCTAACATTTTGACACTAGGGCCCTCCTGCTTCCTGTAGGCACAGTAAGGATGCCCCCAACAAAAGCAAAACCTGCCCAGATCCAACATAGCTCTTGACCCACACAGCCTGCTCCCACCTCCTGCAAGGCTGGCTGTGGCACAGGGTAAGGCAAAATAAAGAGCACCCTAAACAGTCAATCTTTCTTCTGGGACTTTATAGGGGAGCAGGGTGTGAGGGTTTTTTAATGCTGCAGCAACTGGGGATGCTGCCCTGGTCTCCCACCGCAACCGTACCCCGCATACTTGCTTGCATTGAGGCAGAGATTTCTGTCGTTTGGGATCTTACCTCTTCTCTCGCTGATATGGTGGAAGCAGGAGTATTGGGCACAGAGCTGAGGGAGGTGCTTGGTCCCGTCCCCGATGAACTCTGTGAGTCCCCATCTCCAGCAACATCGTGAATCTCTCGAGCAAGGATGGCCACATCCTTCACCAAGGTCTGGCTGAGTCTGAAGCACAGGGCATGCAGATGAGCCATTAGGACACGTGATACAACAAGCCTCATACTCATAAAATATAACAGGAGCACCCACCAAAAGTTTGTATGAATTATAACCTCTGCAGAGGCTAGGGAAAGCAAGTTTTTTGGGGGGTGCCTTGGCAGGGTGCTTAGGAATACTCTGGCTGCATACAAGAGGAAGAAAATAAATCCACTCCCCCTCGAGCCCAGCTTTGAAGCAGAGGTTTGATAAAAAGCAAATTCTAGTGACTACATGCTACCAGAAAGTATTGGAGACAATCCATAAAGAAGGATAAAGAAGCATTATGTTATTGCTCCCCCATCCATCCACTCTACTTCCTCCTTTTTTTAATTTTTTTTTTAAAATTTAATAGAACACAGCCACTTTTTCTTCTTGAGACTTCTTTCTTTTCCATTAAAAAGCCCATACAGGGAAAAGCTTTTTTATTACTTGAATAATAAAATTTCAAACTCTTTTCCTTTTCCTTTGTGGTTTATAGACTGTAAAGGAAAATACGCCTCCATGTTCTCCAGAAGGGCTGAGAGATTACCAGAGTAAGCATGGCATACCTTAGAGGGATCTGGTTTTCAGAAACCAAATCTTGAAACTTCAAGCCCCTTGACAGGTATCCAGTTAACACACAGCGATTGCAGCATTCTGCTGCTCTTGCTCTAGATCTCAAAAAGAGTTTCTAAGTCTCCAATTGTTGCTAGCAGAGCTTAAAAAAAGCCCTTCAGACCAAAAGTAGCTGCTGTGGTAATTTTAAAGAAAAGCTTCTAAGAGGAAAAAAAAAAAAAATCTTCCAGCTAGCTAGCTTCATCTGAAAGACACTTTCTTTAATTCAAAAAAACCAAACAATGTAATAAAACTGTCAGTTCATCAAAACATTTCCTTGGAAAGAAAATGCATAAGTGAACTAATAAAAAGCAGTTTGATCTGCCTGCCTAAGGTGCCCCCTATCCGTGATTTGGATAGAGCTGTCACCGAACACATCCATTATATGATTCACTTACTATAAACAAGTGGCATTTTCCCTTTTAACTCTCTCTGACTCCTCTAAACCCCTCCCAGTTAATTTGGGAGCAGCAATGGAAAAACAGAACTGCAATTATGAAGCAGACTCTGTGACCGAGCCCTGCAACGTGCAGTGCCAGACAAGTCTGACGCAACCATTTATTTATAGCTGCTGCAACCTGAAGCACTCTCCCGTGCTAGGAACGCTGCTAGGAGGGAAGCCAGCATCTCCCACACACGCACTTTGTGCGGTGCAGGTAATGTGGCCTGGTTTGAAGGCTGACACACTTTCTAGCAGCCTGACAGCAACGTTCATGCAAGAAAATCTCTTTTGAGTTCAGTGCAGTAAGCAATAAGCATGACCTGGAAATGCTGACCAAAAGCAGACAGAAGACAGCTTCCGCAGTTGAAAGTATTTCAAGTATGGCCAGTACAATGGAAGACCAGTATTTCTGGAAAGTTGGCATAACACAGTTGCATATTAGAGATGTCAAACCTCAAATACCACTGTTTAAAAAAAGAATCTATTTGCTTTACTGCTGAGGTCTTCCAGGCAACCACGAAGACCACCAGTATACAACACGTCCCGTATCCAGGAACATCAAGCTAAGCCACAACTCATTTATACACAGGGCCCAGACAGATTTTCTTGTTTGGATTCAATTGTGCCAAGCAAAGAGGTTTCTGCCCCGCAGCAACTGCTTACTGCTCCCTCACCGGCTTCAGGCAAAGCAGCTTCAACAGTTTACATATTCAGTCTTTGCTAATCCATCTGTGGAGAATTAGGACAGTTCATACCAACCAGTTCGTGCACACACAGTGACTTCTAGCAGAAAGCAGAGATAAGCAAGTATAGGCAGTTACATCTTTTGACAAACTTAGAGCTAAAAGAGGATACCCGTCCAGAGCTTGAACAAGAAACCAACTGAGATACAACCTCACTTCCCTGTGCCTTGGCATTTTCTAGTGAGAAGGTACAAGCAGCACTGTGTAGCACAGGCTGTAAAGCTTCATGAAAACCTTCCAAGCTGATGTTCGGATACGAAGGAGATGGGGAGCACACAAACAACAGGAGACACTGCCTCTCCTTCTACCTCCACATCTGGGTTTGTTTTGAACACCAAAGAAAACTCCTCCCATTTTCAGCACATGGGCCGATGCATAAAGCCCCCCCTCACCTGGCTATTTCTGCTATCTCTGCTGTTTGCGCCATGAAGTTGTAGGGGTCAGGGTGGTCATCAAAATCCTCATCGTCATCCGTTTCTCTGCCATTGTGCTTCTGCTTGCTCAGCCCAGAGCCACGTATCCTTGGTGTTTGTGTGGCTGTTGAAGTATGGGAGCGTTTGTGTTTAGGGGAGCTGTGATTTGAGCCATATTCCTCCTCCGAAGTAGAAGTGTAATCTGAACCCTGTGGTCTCCGCCTTGATGCTTATAAAAAATGAATTGGTTTCAGACTGAGGAAAGTAGTAAAGAATAACTACAAACGGGCAAAAAGGTAACACAAAACTAGCCCAAGAACACAAGGAAAGGAGAGTTTCTGTGCAGATTTTAAGTTAAACAGCACGTTCTCAGAGCTTATTTCAAAGTTGAGCACTTCGATGGCTCCAATTAACGATACAAATTTGGTGTGGGAAATTCCAATGGAAAAGCAAAATGACTGTGTTAACAACTCCAATGTAGTAAATTATTACCACAGACTTGGCTTTCCATGCACAGAAGCTCTGTGTAAGTAGCACACGTTTCAGAGTCCTCACAGTCCCACAGAAGTCCTTTTCTAAAAAGAGCCCAATTTTCAAGCCTGCAGACACCTTGCCAATTAGCTGCGAGTACAAGCAAAAGGAGGTTTTTTTGAGTGAAGAACAGACTATTGTGTTTGGTGTTATTTGCAAGAGTCCACACCCCCACATTCGCTCCCTGCCTCGCAATTCACCGTTAAGGACA